TTATTATTATTATTATTATTATTATTATTATTTTTTGTGGTGGTGGAGGGGCAACAATGTGAACTTCTCAGTAATTTCTCAACAATCAAAAGGAATCCACACAAATTAGTTCAGGAAAGAAAAATGTACAAATTGAATTGTGCAATTAACTACAACTACATTCAAATTTGATCTACTTTGGCTTAATGAGATTTACATGAGCATAGCTCAAACTGCTCAAGATTCATGCTCCATTACATGTCACATTTGTAGGCCAATGTTTGATATTCATGTTCACCTGTAGGCCCCTTCACTATTGACTATTCCAACTCCAGTGGGAGTCTACCGGCACTGGTATACAACCCATATTCATGGACGAAGGTTTGAAACTTCATCACTTTATATTGGAGTTGATTAAAAGCACAGGTCTCTGATTTCATAGTTTCTGTATTCTGAGAATGAATCTGCTATAATTTGTAGGTGGCAAATATTATTTACACCGATCAACCGGCTGGAACTGGATATTCATATGCAAAATCTTGGGAAGCATACAACACTAATGATACACTGTTTGCAGCACACACTTATGAGTTCCTTAGGAAGGTAAGGACTGAGGATAATCTATCCAAACAATTTATAAGTAATTTATAATGTCTTTAAGTGGGAACTCGACATGGAATACATTGATTTCTACTCTTGAAGTTTCCGTTACTAAATGCTCGGTGCATAACATTAAGCTAATAGCTCCGGCGTACTAATTTCAGCATGACATATTTGAGAAATTTTTGTGCAAAAATTAACAAAGTTTGATTCATTTTTTGGCATTGCAGTGGCTAATATATCATCCCAAATACCTCGACAATCCACTTTATATTGGTGGTGACTCTTATACTGGCATTGTTGTTCCACTTGTTGTTAACAAGATATACAATGGTAAAGTAGCTAATGCATCGTTATAAAAGAGCAAAATTTCCATTAGAAAAAGCTATGTAACTAATGAATTATGTTTTCTAATTCCTTATCATACTTGTGACTGTCCCATTGGAACCCGGACGTGTTTACATGTAAATCTCAGTTCTTGGTTTGAAGAGGGCATTTATGTTTCTCCATTTTCTCTGAGTTTCTTTTATTTTCTCTTTCCTTTGGTAGCTATTGAAGCTGGAAGTCATCCACCCTTGAATATGAAGGTATAAAACTGACCTGGATCTGTTAGTTTGTTATAATACTATACCACTATTGTAGTCGTCTCTATAAATTATTAAGCCTGTAATCTTTTGATTGAATGCAGGGATATGTGCTAGGAAATCCTCTGACAAACAAGTACTGGGACGTTAATGAAAGAATCCCTTATGCTCATCGAATGGGACTCCTGTCTGATAACCTTTTCAAGGTAATTCTACAAGCCAAATCTGTTAAGAAGGGAAGTTTAGAAAACACAACCTCTCTATAGGGAGTATTACACTTTGTGTACAACGTTGTTGGAAAATATAGTTTACCTACTATTGTGTCATTATCGTTAAAATAATAACATATCTGGTCAAGTCTCCA